TTTTAAATACCCACCATTCCTTTATAAGCCTGTCTTCTCTCCAAAATGGTAGGCTGGGAGCATTTTTCACTTCCCCACCAGGCCTCTCCCTCTCCTCCTCATCCCCTACCCCATCCTTTATTCCCAGGGTCTCCCTTCAATCCTTTACCACAATGCCAGTAGACGGGCTAAGGTCCAGCTCAATGACAAACCGATACTGCCAAGCCAGGAAGGTGACCCGGGTGGAAGGTACAAGAAGGAATGGCCTTGGGACCACTGGTTCATCTGGCTGCCATCCAGGGGGTAGGACACTGAGGACTTCCAATTCCTGTTCAGACTGAAGCTGAAAATTAGGATGGAAAGAAAATGAAACAATCAGGGAAGTCACCACTTTCTTCCCAGGACCTGCCTTCTATATCCCAAACGACATATCATTGGCTCTACTGCCCTCAATCCAACCATATACTTTTCCTCTCACTCTCCGGAAAAAATATTTTTTAAAATTTCCATCATCTTGTAGGCAGTCCCTTGCCCCACCCAGACTGAGAGCCCTCAGAGTTAGTCTCCCTCCCTGTCTGTTTCCAGCACTCTCCTAAAAAACAGATCCTCCTGGGCTAGCCCCTCGCATCTTCCATGTGTCTAGGCCTCACCAGCATCTCCTGGGGTGTGGCCTGCACAGTCTGATGCAGATGATTGAGGAACCAAGCCAGGCGAACATTTCGGGAGATTCGATAATCCTTTTTCATTAACAGGAACACCTGCCCGGCTTCTTCCACCTGGGAACAAAAAGACATTAATACATCTTTAAAAAATGGCACTGAGTACTTGTAATACACAGATCGCTGTGCAAATAACTCGCTGAAGGAACTCACCATCTGTGAGAGGCAAAGCAGCAGAGGTGAAAAGTTTACCCTAACCTCCACGCGAGGTCTTCCTGGGGTGTCAATTCTTTTTTTTTTTTTAATGTATATTTTGCATTTTAAGTTCTGGGGTACATGTAAAGAGCATGCAGGCCGGGCGCGGTGGCTCAAGCCTGTAATCCCAGCACTTTGGGAGGCCGAGGCGGGTGGATCACGAGGTCAAGGGATCGAGACCACCCTGGTCAACATGGTGAAACCCCGTCTCTACTAAAAATACAAAAAATTAGCTGGGCATGGTGGTGCGTGCCTGTAATCCCAGCTACTCAGGAGGCTGACGCAGGAGAATTGCCTGAACCCAGGAGGCGGAGGTTGCGGTGAGCCGAGATCACGCCATTGCACTCCAGCCTGGGTAACAAGAGTGAAACTCCGTCTCAAAAAAAAAAAAAAAAAAAAAAAAGAGCATGCAGGATTGTTGCATTGGCACATACATGGCAATGTGGTTTGCTGCCTCCATCCCCATCACCTATATCTGACATTTCTCCCCCTGTTATCCCTCCCTAACTCCCTAACCCCCACTGTCTCTCCCTGGGGTATCAATTCTTAACTCTCTGTTCCTGTTTGCCCTATACAGATCTCCATATAGATGAAGTGACCTTTCTATATTGTTTCCACAATGTTTATGTGAGTTATACCTATAAACTACAAGCTTCTGAGGGCAGGGATTGTGTCTGATTCTAGTTTTGTGTCTCTGTGCTTGGCAAATTTCTACAAACAGAACAAACACTAGAAATCCCTAAGACATTACATGAATGCCAGTTACTCCTAACAAGTCTTGACAATAGCAGACACTGAAGAAACTTTCACCGAAGGAATAGCAAACCTTCTGAATACCTCAAAATCAAACCTCTGTGGGTCACAGTCTCCACCCCTGCACTTTTCAGTCATCAGTACTCTAGCTCTTGCCTCCATTGCCTCATAGGTGGCCACTTCATCAATGCGCTAACAAGCATCCACTCCTTTGCCCATGTCCTTGTCCTTCCACTACACAAGTCCTGTCAAATCTTATCTTGGGATGAATTTGACATTTTCCCCTGTCTACACATATACTATGGCAGCTGCACTCTGACAGAAAGAAACTTGTCACCTTGCCAGCAGGGCCCACTCTAGCAGGCCTTTACCAGTCCTCTGAATTCTCCAGGCCAGCAGTCTTTCCTGTTCCCCACAGCAGGTTTTCCAATCTTTCGGCCCCCTCACTCCCAGCAGACAAACTTGCCCACAGTTCACAGAGGAAACAAAGGTCAACTGGTCTGAACTCCCCAATGTCTCTTCCTGATTAATCCTTATCTGTCACATTCCTTACTCCCTTATTCTTGTCTGTCCTACACAAATGGCAAATTTCTCCTTCTGTGTCCCTGATTAATGAGGGGAAGGACACCAGGTGGCAATAACTGAAGAGCAGGTAGTAGAGGAGAAATGAACAGAAGTTAATAAACGCCTGTTGAGAAACATGTTGAAAGAAAGCGAAGAATTTTTCTTTCCCAAAATTGGGAAATACGTATGGAGAGAAGACTGAAAAAGCCCTGGAAAAGCAATAATGAAGAGTTTCTGATGTCAGAGAAAAGTGTGGAGAACAGACACACAATGGTTGTGAAGACAAGAAGGAAAGGGTAAAAAGATACAGAAACAGGTATTGGAAAATAATAAGGATGACAGCAGAAGGGAAGAAGGAGAAGCTCACATTTATCAAGCAACTAAAATATATGCAAAAGTACTGGGTAAAAGAAAAAAAGAAAAGGGCCAGGCACAGTGTAATCCCAGCACTTTGGGAGACCAAGGTGGATAGATCAACTGAGGTCAGAAGTTCGAGACCAGCCTGGCCAACATGGTGACACCCCATCTCTACTAAAAATACAAAAACTATCTGGGTGTGGTGGTAGACGCCTGTAATCCCAGTTACTTGGGAGGCTGAGGCAGGAGAATCGCTTGAACCTGGGAGGTGGAGATGACAGTGAGCTGAGATTGTGTCATTGCACTCCAGCCTGGGTTACAGAACGAGGCTGCATCTCAAATTAATTAATTAATTAATTAATGGCCGGGCGCGGTGGCTCAAGCCTGTAATCCCAGCACTTTGGGAGGCCGAGGCGGGTGGATCACAAGGTCAAGAGATCGAGACCATCCTGGTCAACATGGTGAAACCCCGTATCTACTGAAAATACAAAAAATCAGCTGGGCATGGTGGCACGTGCCTGTAATCCCAGCCACTCAGGAGGCTGGGGCAGGAGAATTGCCTAAACCCAGGAGGCGGAGGCTGTGGTGAGCCAAGATCACACCACTGCACTCCAGCCTGGGTAACGAGAGCGAAACTCCGCCTCAAAAAAAAAAAAAATAATAATAGGAAAAAAAAGTACTCTGTACAGGCCAAGTGCAGGAATTTCAGGTTCAGACAGTCTGGGTTTGAATCCCAATTCAGCCACTTATTAGCTGTGAGACACTGGAAAGTTTGTATCACCTCTTTAAGCTTCAGTGTCCTCCTCTGTAAAATAGAGATAATCCTAACACCAATCTAAAGTGCTGTTCTGTGGATCAAGGAAAATCGTGCATATGAAGTGCTCAGCACAATGCCTGGTAAGAATAAAAGTTAACAGTAACGGCTGGGCATGATGGCTCAAGCCTATAATCCAACACTTTGGGAGGCTGAGGTGGGCAAACCACTTGCACCTAAGAGTTCAAGACCAGCCTGGGCAACACAATGAAATCTCAACTCTACTACAAAAAATACAAAAGTTAGCAGGGTGTGGTGGCACATGCCTGTAGTCCTAGCTATTTAGAAGGTTGAGGTGAGAGGATTGCTTAAGTCCAGGAGGTTGAGGCTATAATGAGCTATGACCATATGATTGCACTCCGGCCTGGGAAAAAGAGCAAGATTCTGTCTCAAAAAAGAAAATAATAACAATAATAAAATGAAATCACACCTTGGGAGACACTACTCTCTATTACACTACTTTCCAATACTGTATTGAGAAAGACCCCGGCTAGGATTTTGGATTTATCCTGTAAGTGAGTTTAAGCTACTAAAAGGATTCCGCAAGGCAGTAACATTATATCTGCATTTAAAAAAATTCCCTCTGGCTACTGTGTGATTCAGAAAGACCCCCCTCTGCCCCCCAACAACTAGGGGAGATGACAGTGGCTTAGACTAGAGCTACTGAAAGTAGCCATTCTGTGAACTGTTTGAGACTGCGTCCTTGATGAGATAATGCAAGATAATGCCAGGATGGAAAACCACCACTGTCTTTCACCATCAAAGTCTTATTATGGAAAACAAAAAGTCAGCTGAACTAAACAGTGAACTTAGTTGCATTTCAAGGGATCTTTAGGATAGGACAGACAAGAATTGGTGATTAATTGTAAGTTAGGACACAGGAGGAAAGTAACAAAAAAGAAGGTGTCAAGGATGATTAAAGGAGCACTGGAAACCAGTATGCACAAAATGATTTCCAAGTTAGCTATCAAAATTAGAGACAGTTACTCCTAACTACCCCACTCCCTCGAAAAGTCCCATCAAATCGTACACTCTTATTGCCACACTCCTAAAAACAGAAAAGGGGTCTGTTTATTGGCAAAGAAGGGAATCACAGCAATTACTTGCCCTTTCTTTCTCTGATCCTTGGGTTTAAGGTGGGATACTAAACCAGACAATCTCTCTTTCAGGTTTGACTTGGCTGGTATGGGTGGGATATTATGTGTTGACTATGCTGGGGTCCTGCCAAAGTTCTTATCTAAAAAAAGATGTACAAGAGACTTACTGGAGTTTTAAAAAAGAATTTTCTTTAAAGGATGGTTTGAGGGCTCAGAGCATTATGAGAACAGGAAGGCTATCCTAATTCAGCAGTCATTTATCTATTACTCTATCTCCAGAGCCTAGTGCAGTGCCTGGCACATAGGATGTTCAATAAAATTTTGCTAACTAAGTGAATTCACTGTTTTTTGCTTCCTGCCACTACCTCCTCCCCTCTTGCCATGTATTCTAAGCAAAACAAACTGGACATTTAAAACTAATAATTACTATAACTTTTCTCAAGATGAGATCATCTTAACGCTAGTGTCAATACCACTTTCCCTTTGTTGTCTGGTATGAAATATTTTTTTTTTTTTTTTTTAAATACCAGACTGTTTCAGCTGAGCAAGGAAAAACCAAGGAAAAGAGTTTTGTCCCATACTGGACAAAACTTTAACCCAGGGGTTAAAGGAGAAGAGCACATGTCCAGTGGGTCAGAACTGTAAGGACAGAGTTGGGTGCATGGTCATCTAATCTTCTAGGACTAAAATCATGGCAAATCTAGGTTTAATAAGTGAACCTGGCCGGGCGCGGTGGCTCAAGCCTGTAATCCCAGCACTTTGGGAGGCCGAGGCGGGTGGATCACGAGGTCAAGAGATCGAGACCATCCTGGTCAACACGGTGAAACCCCGTCTCTACTAAAAATACAAAAAATTAGCTGGGCATGGTGGTGCGTGCCTGTAATCCCAGCTACTCAGGAGGCTGAGGCAGGAGAATTGCCTGAACCCAGGAGGCGGAGGTTGCGGTGAGCCGAGTTTTTTTTTTTTTTTTTTTTTTTTTTTTTTTTTTCAAAAACCCGCCCCCAAAAAAAAAAAAAAAAAAAATAAGTGAACCTTTCCATGACTGTCTGCACTAAGTTAGGGTCCTATGTTGGGCATTCACACACTCTATATTTTTATTCCTTGACACCTGACAGAGTTTATAATTAAGAATTTGTGGCCAGGCGCAGTAGCTCATGCCTGTAATCCCAGCACTTTGGGAGGCCGAGGTGGGTGGATCATCTGAGGTCGGGGGTTTGAGACCAGCCTGCCTAACCTGGTGAAACCCCGTTTCTACTAAAAATACAAAAATTAGCCAGGTGTGGTGGCACATGCCTGTAGTCCCAGTTAGTCAGGAGGCTGAGGCAAGAGAATCACTTGAACCCAGGAGGCGGAGGTTGCAGTAAGCTGAGATCGTGCCATTGCACTCCAACTTGGTCAACAAGAGAGAAACTCCAGCTCAAAAAAAAAAAAAAAAAAAAA